GTGTGATAGAAGAGCCAGATCATCTGAGAAGTCTTCTTTTAGAGGACTAATTTATCTATATCTGACTCCAATAAATAAATAATATCCCGATAACTGAATATTTAATGCAGGCTAAATCTCCCAGTAGAATTATGGGTTTACTCAAGATTATTCAAAAGCCTGAACACCACTTATAGAAACAGTTTATTGTTGAAGCTCGGTTAAAATCCGCAAGCGTGCAGAAAGCAAGCACACAGGGAAAACAAGTGTGTGTGTTAAAAATCCATATGTTTTTATGAGTGTTAATCGGTTGTGGATACATTATTGATTGCCTTTGCTTACAACCAATAAGAGAACAGATCAAAGATTGATGTGCAAACACATGCGCTCAATCAGACTCACACATAAATTTACAATGTGGATTAAATGTTAAGATTACAGAGAGCACACAAATAATACAATAGTTGAATGAGCTTGCTACAGTCTTAATCATTCAGATGCATTTTAGCTGTCTACTGTAGCTCGTGCTTCTCTCCAGATGTTGACGTCTTCATAATCCAGTCAATCACCGGGAGAAAGAGAAAGGGTGAGAGTAAGCAACCTTGCTAACACCGGTCTTTACCTTTAATGAGTCGGTGAGTTGTCCTCCATGGATGATTTGGCAATATAATCCATCATAGGATGACTATCTTCTCAGGCACGCCGTAGTGTCGAGGAAGCCTCCATGGTGTTGTCCTGTCCACGCTATCAAATGCTTTCTGATAGTCAATAAAGATGATGTAGAGTGAAGAATTCCATCCATTCCACCTCAAGCAATGGGTGAAGAGTTGCGCAGGATCATAGATCGATTAAAGTTAGACACTAACACCGTTGGATGCCGATTCATTGGTCTAAATGTTAAGCGTTCACAAACGTGACCGGACGTCCTTGATTAGTGTCCTGTGTGAGAGATCGTGGACACGCACTGCTGAGTAGCCTTATACTACTAGAACGAAACGGCTGTCCAGCACTTCTAGGTTTCCAATCGTGGTCTGGCTTAGATTGGTTCATTATTTCAACCGTTCAACGGTTCGCTTAGTTCAATTAACTCTCAACATCAACAACGGGCAAATACAAACTTTTTATTTATTTCTGCTCTTTCTCGGCGTTTTTCGACAATTTTTCTCTTGGTACCAGCTTTTGTTGACAATTTATCTTGAATTTAGAAGGACAGAATGCCTCATACTAATTAGTAGAATAATGTACCACGTTTTGAATAACTTATTATTCTTTTATGTTATGTTGTTATCTTTATTAGGTTTTAGAACATAGTGGGCCAACTAATCAACGTGTTTATCGTGTTGGTGTTTATTTTCGTAGTCAACGATTAGCAACTGGTGAAGGTCGGTCTGTTCAACAAGCTCAAATGGAAGCAGCTAAAAAGGCATTGGAATTACATCAAGGTGAGTATTAGTATTAGTATTCGTCTGTTGAAATATATATCATATAATATTGATATGTCTGTTGCACGAATATTCGCTTGTGAAACCAGTTTTCAAGTTGTTTTAATGAATTTTCGTATTTTACACGATTTGTAAATTGAAATACACGAATTGAGATTTCAAAGTTTTGGTGGGACTTGAGTAAGACTTTCAAGAAAACTATGAAATGTTGTTAGCTGTTAACGGAGATAATAGTGTAATAATCAACTTCTTTCATATGGACTAGACGTTTTAGTAAACCCTAAAAGAACCACAAAAATGGTATGAAACAAGAACTACTATTAACTTCCTGTCTTGATGGGAACTCTGATTATGTACAGTCTCTTTGGCTTTATCATCGCCAGTAGACTATACAGTGGTTGTTCAAGAAAAGTATTTAGGAAAACCTTTGATGGACAGTATTCTAGCTGAACATTTCACATGGAAAATCAAGTATCTGACTCCGGTGAACTTTCAGGTTGTTTAGTGAAATCATCATCCGTATGTCACGGTATCTTACTAAAGTTTTAGAACATCCATATTGGAACTACTCACGCGTTTACCAGATAGATTCGTGTACCTGGTTTCAAGCCACACTTTAATTGTGCAGGATAGTGGTACCGCCCATTTTTGTAGAGCAAAGTATATGAAGCCGGGTTTGATCCTGGAACTTAGTGGTTGCAAGTCGAGCGTTTTAATCAATGAATCATTTAAGTGTATTAGTTGGAGATAATTATGATAAGGAAATTGATATCACTGCAAACTGGAAAGCACTGAGTCTATTTTATTTTAGTTCCCACTACTGCTTTGTCAGATATAGTGTCCAAAACCTGTAGATATGACAGCGGGTACATAGTTTAGCGCTAAAAGCGTTGGAATTTCAACCCATAATCCATAGAACCAAGCCCTGCTCCGCTTACTTCGGTCTTGATAATCGGGTAGCATCATTAGTCAAGTGCACGAATCTTTTCGTGGTTAGTCACAACTTCTCATTAAAACTCGAGTGAATTCGTTCCAAAGTTAGTCATCAGTGAATAACTAACTAGCGATTGTTTCTAAACTACATTTTGACTTTGTAAACTATTTTCAAATAAACCAATCTGTACGTATCTCTAATTTGAATATGTAAGTTGTGACCACTGGGTTATCAGTTTCCAGAATGAACCCAGGGTACTGAGCAAGAATGATTAATTGGTCCATAAAATTCCAAATACCCACCAACTGGGGTCATTGTAACACGCGTTATGCATGCCTACTTACCCTTTACCTTGATACACGATGTTGACTGGGGTACGAGAGTAAGTTGCGAGAAAGCAAACATCTGGCAAACCAAAGCATAGCATCAGTTCGTGAAATCACTGACTGTTTAACTAAACCGTGTTTGCAGGTCCAAACCACCTGGTCGGAGTTCTTTCGCTCATTGTTACCAATAGTTGAAAATATAGTGTGATAAGGACCGACTTCAGTAAAGCACGATTATTTACTATTTTTATTCTATTAGATCCTGGATTTCAACATTATTTCATATTTTTTCTCGATACTAGAGACTGATTCTTTCCTCTCGAGACATATTCTACCAGTGCAGTCTTTTTTTACCATCAGTGATACAAACAGTTCGATTGCTTCAGCCATCGATCTCGTGCTGATTGTATAGTGTATACCAATTTGGATCGATACATTTATGAGCTAGGCTCTTTTTTGTTTGAATAAATGACGAAATAAATTTATTTACTTCATTTAACATTGAACACCCTATCTCAAAATCTTTTTAAAATTTTCAACAGATACATTTCGTCAATTGGATTTTCAACGCTCAGTTATTTCAAAACGATATAAACAACCTTATATTAATAAAATATTAGATCAAGTACAAAATTGGGATGAACAATTGGTGGATTATTTTATTTCAGATAAACCTACATCTACAACAATTATGTCGACCTTGACTTCAAATACTACTATTACTAATGATAATAATACTCCCATAAATACTGATAAAATGAGTAATAGTGGAAACCGAACAATGAAACGATCATTTCTATCAAATCATAATAATGATACCAATAGTGAAGAATTATTATTATTGTATAGTAGTGCTAAACGTCGTTGTTTTGACAAAAACATTTCTAATCAAGATTCATGTACATATGAAAAAACATCATATCTTTCCTCCGTATCATCAACGTCAAGATTTGACACTTCTCCTTCAATATGTTTATCATCACAGACATCAACTAATGATAGTGGGGAGGATGGTGTTGCAATAATCGACATTAAAACAGAACGACTGAACACAGTGAAAGACATAGAAAAAAAGAACGAAGAGTTGTTTGCTGTATTTGATAACAACGACAAGAACTCTCACGATAATAATGTCGTCGAAAACAATAGAGAGGAGAACGATGAGGAAGAAGAAGGTGAGATTATCGAAGATGATGATGATGACTGTTGTGATGATATTACGAATGAAAAATATTGTAAATGTAAATTATTTTTAAAATGAAAAAGAGACAAAACATTGGAACACTGTGTATTCTAATCGTTGCGAATACTATTACTATCAATAAAAGTAATAATGATGGGTGCCAACCCTGACTAAGTAGTCGAACACATTTTACTCTTTTCATTTCTTCGACCTTTTCTTTTTGTAAAGCCAAGTGAGAGTCAATCTACTGTTTTATATTTTTACGAACTTAATTATATTACGCAATTTCGTATTATATATATATATATATCGCTTTGAAGGAATTTATCAATCTTGAAATACATTCATAATCTTGATATACAAATAGTGCAGTTTCATAAGTATTTTTCGTCGTTTGTAGACGGCTCCGAACAATGCTAGTCTTGTGTTTTTTTAAAAACTGAGATTTAAAATAATCCACGTTTGTTTCGAATCGGAACAGTCCCATTTCATACTTTTACTCATTTGAATAAAGTCAAAACAACAACTGAGTCAAGATAATATGAACTTATTGTATTTTGTAGTTTCTCTTCAACCGCTTACAAGTAGATTAATAATAAACTATAACATTGAAATATAGTACAATATGAGGTAACGGACGTTGGGAACGGGAAGAACCGGCAAAATTAAGAACCTTCTAAACTTAATTTTCAGTCAAATGAACTACTAAAACTATGCCGCCATCCTTAAGGATCTTCGGGGTTAATTCATCAGATCATTTAGCTCTCCCACGCTTCAGATGAAGTATCGCATTTGTAAATTCGTATCGATTTCCTATTCAGATTGTTTGAAGAGATTGGGTAACACGAGAGTAGCTGGAGGGAGATTAAATTATTTCTCCCAGTGTTCTATCCATCGTTCTGGTCTAATGAACTGTGAGTGAACCATTTTCTCGTTTTTTCCCAAAATAATCTAATTAATAGCTAACTGTTTAATAACTCTTACATTTGTGAGTCAAGAGATTTTTCAAGGGTTAGCTAATACATTTGCTTTTTAAATCTCATCACGTACAACAGCACTCAATCACTGGAGATTTTTTATCACTCGTTTTAATACTCAACATTTGAGGGTGGTGGGATTACAGGATGTTTCTCAGATAACAGACAATTTGGTAACCTTCAACGCATTACTCCACTAAAAATATTGTATTACATTACAGATGACTTCGACCAACTTTAGTGAACATAGTGTATGACTTGTTGTTAACAATAATATCCTGTAACGTAGTTCGCCGTTACTGACAAGACGTAAAATGCACTCGACACAACTCCCTTTACTGCTGTTGCGAAGCAAATAAAAACGAATACAAACTGAGAGAATACATGGTTTTTCTTAAAACACAAAAGCTACCCGTAACGACAACGAATATACTTATACTGCTTGAACAGTAATAAGTAATATACCACGAAATAGAAAACAAAAAGAAATATAGAGTTTTGAAATGACGCGAAACAAGATCTAAAAATTACAAAGACGGAAAGTACATTACAATATTCCAGACTCTGACAAAGATTCTAGAACTGACTCAGCAGTATTCAAATTCAATTCATAGTTAAAACCATCATCATAAGGTTTATGATATGAAGGCAATAGAATACGATTAAAAAACCTTTTACAAAGTACAAAATATAGACGAAATGATTTTTTCTTGATATCGTAATTAGCCATTTCATGTTTATCAATAAGACATAGAAATTTTATCCAATTTAAAAATATACCAAAGTCATGCGGATTACGATAAATTACTCCACGTTGTCTTAATATTTTTGTGAATTTTGCATTGATATGTCGTTCAATACTTGTCTCACCATTACTAATTAAATATGTATGCCAAGCGCATAGAGCAATTACTAAAGGAACTGCAATTACACTGAAAATGAAACATCCTTTATACAATTGAATGAAGAATTTATTCGATGGTAAATATGTGTTATGGCTGAACCAAATTGATGAATACTTTACGGTGATATTAATCTAAAAATTAAAAATGAACATCTGAATGTAATACAACACATTCTTGATATACGGCTAGACTTTATTATTATTGTGCAGCGATCTAATGAGCTGTGATTTTTTATGAGAACCAATTTGGAAGTGTAAAGGATTATCCACAAATATAATAGAACATAAATTATTGAATCTTGAGAAACTGTTTGAACAGTCAAGTTTTTGTTAATAAGTACAAAAGCTGTAGGTCTAATCGTACATCAATCCGTGGATATATAATGATGATATATAATATAGTGTAACCCAGCATCAAAATACCAAGGGCTTGTGTAAATAACTTTCAGAAATTCAGTGTAACAAGTATCAATGTTTATCATATTCAGTTAAGATATACGTAATCAGGAAACTATAGCTCATTTGTTTTTAAAATTTAATCTTAGCTTTATCGTCACTTTTAAATGTAAACTGGTAGGAAAAGTGATAAGTCTTGCTAATTGAACGCTATATTCAGATCTTAAGCTAGTTTCGTAACCCCCAAGTTAAATCTACACAGCAACTTGAACACGAAAGAAAAGACGCAAAATATGCGAGAAGCACTTTATTCCAAAGATTCATTTATGTACAGAAAATATAGGGTTTTTATCGTATTTTAGAAGTCCTTGAGTTTTCCTGAAAATTCTGGGATGCTACTAAACATAGAAGCAGTGTAGTAATCAGCCAATCAGAAACTCTACATGTAACTTTTTATTTTCGTGATGTTTCTGTAAAAATTTCTAGTTAAACGCTGATTGAATAAAATGCTTCTTAATGTTTATTGAGTTTGTCATGTCTATTGCGAGAAATTTTGTGGGTCATCCCAACAAAAAGATCTTAATACATATGAGAGAGTATTACCAGACAGACATAGAAGACATAAGGTCTGGGACAGACCCATATTGGTTCAAGTTATCACACTGAGACTCAAATCCAGTACCTGTCGCCTCAAACACTGATGTATTATTCGCTAAGCTACCGGGGTCAAGTAATTACTAACATAATTATTCACTAGGAAGACATTATTAGTAACAGTTTGAATTTTTCTGTAACTGAATATCAGCAGATGTTAAATGAAAACCCTTAGTAATAAGAGATATAACTCGAATAAAAATGAAAGTTACGGAATAATTCCATCAAGAAAAAGTGGAAGTATGTGCACCACTTTTACTTACTTTTAACAATGATATTTAAAGTTTTCAATTACAGATAACTGTAATAGCACTGAATTCGAATAAATATTCACTGTTTTCGTGACTGTGGTTAATATGATTTTTCTAATTGATTCCATTTTTTTATCACGTCATCGCAAGCCTTCTCCCAAGTAACTCAGATAAGATAATAGCTTATTATACGTGACATATCCACCCATCACAGTTGACAACTAATTCAGTCAGTCAGCTACAACGTAGGACCAGGCATATATATGCATCGGTCTAAGTTGCCATACCTCACTCGTTAGCACAATAGGATGAACACCAAATTTATAGTAGTCACTTTAGTGGTGGTAGTATATAAAAGATAGGTTGTATATAAAGGTATAGTATAGGAAGGAAGGAATTTATGAAGCAATTTTAATCTCAAGGTTTAAGGGAAGATAAAGAGTGTATACACCTACTCCATTGTAATCGATTCTGAACCATGTCACCTAGAGTCTCCAACCATTGGTTACGATTGTCACGCGGACACCAACCAAGTAGTCTGCATCTGCCAACATGGATCAGACTAGAAGTTAGTGACTCCAAGCACTGATGCCACGTTTTGGTTTGGCCGCCCCTAACTTTCTTCTAACCATCCCCTACACTAGTCAGCATAGCGCGTCGTGGTAATCGGTGTTCAGGCATATATAACACGTGGCCGAACCATCTCAGTCGATGAAGATTCATGACCTCATCAACTGATTTACCATCATTGCTTAATATCCTGTGTCTAACCTCACTATTACTTACCCGGTGATCCCAGTAGATGCGAGCAATATTTCTAAGACATCTGTGGTCAAATACTAGTAACCTACGAGTATCTTCTACTCTTAATGGCCATGTTTCACAGCCGTAAAGTAGAACAGAGCGAACTGCTGCGCAGTACACTCGTCCCTTAATTGGTAGACGGATATCTTGTCTTCACCATAGGTGACATAAGTTGGCAAAAGCCAAACGAGCTTTTTGAATCCGTGCTGAGATCTCGTCAGACACCAACCCATTAGGGCTGATCAGTGCAATTGTCGACGCGTTCGACTACTTCACTCCCTATCCTTAGTTCAGGTATTGACGCAGGCCAGTCCTGGAGTAACAATTTACATTTGGATGGGGAGAAACGCATCTCAAACATCCTGGCATTATTACTCAGTTCTAACAGAAGACTTTGCATTTTGCCAGCGTCTTCACCAAACAGGACTATGTCATTTGCGTATTCCAAGTCGCTTAGCGGACCCCCTAGTAGTTTACGAGTCTTAGCTAGGCGTCCGATAATTATCGAGGCTAGTATTTTAGATGCTATGTTAGTCAAACTAATCCCTCTATGGTTATCACAGGATGATTTTGGCCCCTCCTCATATATTGAGATAATAAGTGATCGTGACCAGTCAGGCGGAATTACGTCCAACTCCCAGATTTTAGCCAAAATATTAGTCAACTTAATCGCTTAAATTGGACCACCATATTTAAAAACATCAAGAGCCAATCCATCAGGACCAGCTGCTCTTCCTATTTTCAGATTACCTATAGCCTTTTGAACTTCAAGTAGGGTCGGGGGGCCTACTTCAATGTTCCAATCAGGCTGTCTGGGAATAGTGGGTAGTTGTGCAGTAGCTGAAGGCCAGCTGAACTGCTCCTTAAAGTGTTCTGCCCATCATTCTAAACGTCTGGGCTGAGAGCAGATAAGGGTTTCGTCTTTCTTTTAGATCATTTCACTTACACTTGACTTCTAAATTCCGGTTTCTTTTATTAGTCTGAAGAGTTACCTCGTGTTGTCTACAGCCGCTGCCTTTTCCACTGCTCACGATCGTTCCTTAGACTTTTAGTCAACCTAGATCTGATTTGTTTACGCTCTTCATCGTGTTCAGAGCCTGATGGGGTGAGTTTACGCGAATTCATCAGTGAAATGGACTTCGAAGAAATCCATTGGTGTTTTGGAACCATATGGTTTAAATTACTGCTTTTTCCACAGCTGTTAGTATGTCTTTCCAAGCAGCATCTGGGTCAGTCTCGTTTAAAGAACTGCCGAAGTATGAACTCAGTTGTTCCTGGAATTTACATTTGGATTTCTCATCCTCTAATTCAATCCTAATGGGTCTTCTTAGTGTAGTTTTCTTGCGTCCAGTGAGGCGCACACAAATGCGTGCTCGTATTAAAGCGTGATCAGTCTAAACAAGTATTCCAATACGAGCGACAGTCTTCTATCGAGTCCCGACCGTTGCTGCTACCTTGATGTGGTGGTCGGGCTTGCCTATCGTGACGAACCAGTCGAGCTATACTGGCTAGAACAATCGTTCCTCAAGGTCCTACCATGCCAGACAGGTTGGTTGAAGAGCGGTGAGACTAAAAGCAGAAAACCGAAGGCGAAGTCGTACTGCCGACTGTACGGAGGTGTGACAGCAGTAAGGTGTTTCCTTCAGACAACCAGCATGACAGCGATGCTGCCTTCCCACAAGGAGGGGTGGCATAGTGACACTTGAGGAGGAAAACGAAAGAGGAAGTTTAGTGTTGAAAGTTGAGGTAGAAGGAATAGTGGGAAGTGGAGAAGGAGATTGTTTATGAATACAGTGGTTTTGAGTGCTGTTAGAGTTACCAACTTGGTCTCGTGTGCAGTTACGGGTATGAGGGCTAATATCACTTCCCGGTTGTCCACACCGTGGAAGGGTTCTTCTAGAGGCACCTGAAAAGGAAATGGGGTTAGAAGTGATCTTAATGACCTGAGAGCGTGACCGCAGTGCACAAGGGACAACTGCTTGAGGTCAGTAATACACGACCTTTTTGTGGGTAGTTTTTGTGTTAGCTCCGTTCTTCAAAAAACCTTACCGCCGGAGACGGATATCCATGGGATAAGGCGAGGTGTGCATTTTTAGGGTCGACCTTTTCTAACCCCACCCCTCCTTGTGGGAAGGCAGCATCGCTGTCATGCTGGTTGTCTGAAGGAAACACCTTACTGCTGTCACACCTCCGTACAGTCGGCAGTACGACTTCGCCTTCGGACCTTGGGTTTGCTGCTTTTAGTCTCACCGCTCTTCAACCAACCTGTCTGGCATGGTAGGACCTTGAGGAACGATTGTTCTAGCCAGTATAGCTCGACTGGTTCGTCACGATAGGCAAACCCGACCACCACATCAAGGTAGCAGCAACGGTCGGATGACAACTGATTACTATTTCCTCAGTAGAGTGATCATCTTCAATCAGTACTATACAGCTGACATAACTGTTGTCTATTCTGTAGTTTTACTGTACGAAAAACAGACAAACACTTTCTCAAATATAACTTAACCAAAAGACTATCACACCACAAAGAGGTTTGTAGAGATTGCTGAATACTAACGTTTAATTCATGGATTCATTTTAGTGAGTATTAGCGGGACATAAATTGAATTAAAGTATATTGCGTACACGATTGTGTTGGTGCACGTTGATTGAATAATTCTCATCCAATCAGAGCTGGTCGTTACTTGGAGAAGATTCTAAAATCTCATGTAAAAACTATAAATATACTAACGTATCTCTTATTGCGCTTCTTACTTCCAACTACTTTTGTTATTCGGAATATGATATCTCTTCTGTCCAACCGTGTTCTAATTTGGGAACTTGTCGAGTGAATTGGTGTCCGGGAACATTAAGCAATAGGGATAGTTGGATCGTAATACGAGAAATTTATAACAGTTAGACAAATTTTAAAAGCTATTTCATCTTTTACGACCAACTAATCATCATAATATACACCACCATCCAATTTTAACAATGTAATAGAAGAATTTTAAGAGAAATACTTTTTCCACTACATACTAGTGAAACTTACTTGATTTTGATTAATTTCCAATAAGTAGCTTCGAAAGTCTGACCAACCAACATTCAGTAAATATATCCCACCAATACTCATGAATATCAATGCTAAATAAAAATGTCGATGTGTATACAAACCAATACAATTAGCTGTCCATGGACAATGATGATCCATATATAATATACATGTTTTACATATAGCACAATGATGTGCTCTTTTCGGACGTGATAAAAAACATCGTGAACATGTAGTATTAGTATTACTAGACGTATTATAAGGAATTTGTGGTACATTACCGGGATTAATTAAAACAGCAGATAAATAATGGAAATAAACATTGGCGACGATTAAATGACTCAATGTAAAATGTAACAAAAACCATGTACCCTCAGTACGTAAACTACACTTGCTTGAATTATATTCATCATATAAATAGCATGAATTCAAAATGAAAAGACGACGTGGTATCAGGACTGTATACAATAAACATAGAATCAAGCACAAATAAGTTAATACTAATGCGATTAGAGTTCGACCGAAATTTTTTCGACCACCAAGGTATAAAGAGAAACAATTTAAAATTGGTTCTAACATACAAATTGTGTAAATCGTTGAAATAAAATCTAAAAACCAACCAATACATTGATAAGTAGATCGGGGGGGTGATAAATTTCTGTTTAGGTTAATCATCATTACATCTGGCATGTATAAACGAAGTAAACATTTTAAAATGTAAATGTGATCAGAGAAAAATGTAATTTTCATTATTCCAGAACGAGAATGCACAAGTAGAGCTGAAAAATTGAGAGAAAACAGAGAGAGCAGTAATTTAGGGTTTTTGCAAGAATTAATCGAACAATTTACCATTTTTACAGTGATTATTCATTTATTTAAGAAGAAAAATATTAGTATAAGGGAGACCAAATTTATATGCGCCACACTTAATCAGTCCATTTACGTAAGGGCTAGGATACTTCTCGGGCGCCCAAACCGAAGCAGGTGGTTCTCTAAGGCCACTCCGCGAGTCTCTCATCTAGAGGTACAATCCACAAGGCTCTCGAACAGCGTTAGGAGATGCAGTGCGATGGTAGCGAGTGACCAACACCATTTGTTCCCTCAGGATCCTGGAGCCTACATACACTATTTGTTTGGAATCAAGCTTTTCCATCTCCTTTTGGTGGGTCCTCCGTGTCCACCAACCTGGTTAAAACTCCGGACATCTGCTTTTTGACCCTTCAATTTCGTAAACAACACCCCACCGCATGCAGGTAGTGAGTAGAACTCCCCTGACAGTGACTGTATACACGTGGCCATGTGAGAGCGGACTCTGCCAACCCTCGTCTGTACCAGGGCGTTCGGGGGATTATGTTATAACCATAGGATCTTACTGCCAAAGTTCAACTGTACCCATTTCTCAATAAATGAATAAATACTAAGAAATAAAGTTAGCAGTACTAATTACTTTACATTGTCACCTATAGTTCACGAATGTAAATCCATGTAAATGACCAGGGTTCATTCTAGCGGGGAGGAAATGGTGCAACCCCCAAGCTCATGTCGAAGTTACACTGCGAAATCGACTTCCTCGGACACTATTGATGCGCAAGGCATCCGCCCTCTGAAACGCAAAGTGGCGGCCATTCTGGATTATACAGAGCCGACAACAACCAAACAATTACGCACGCTTAACAGACTACTAAGTTTCTATAGACGGTTCATATTAAACTGAGCGTCCCCTGTGAAACCTCTGACTGACCAATTTCGTGGAAATACGGAATCCACCAATTTGGACGATACGGCGAGAAAAGCATTCTCCAAGATTAAGGAACTTATCGCAAAAGCAACCATGCTTGCACACCAGGACGCCCAAGCACCCATTAACGTCACAGTAGATGCATCCGACTCGGCAATCGGTGGAGTCTTACAACAATCGGTTGATCACACCTGGCAACCTTTGGTATTCTTCTCAAGACGGTTGCTAGACAACTACTCCCCTCGAGAGTCTCGACAACTGGACTATATTTCGCAGTTTACTTCAGACACACAACACATTTCCGGGGCAAACAATGTAGTCGCAGACGCTTTGTCTCGTATAACTTCTTTGAACAGTTTTCAAGGAACCGACCTTCTTAAACTCGCCCAGCTTCAAAAAGAAGACATTGGTCTTCAATACGAGTTATCTTCAACAACCTTAAAACTGCGTATTAAACAGATGGGAACAGACATGGAAACCTTAGTGTGCGACACATCTACAGGTAGGGATCGTCCAATCGTACCGAAACATTATCGAAGCTACGTCTTGAATACGTTGCACAAACTCTCATCTAGGTGTTCGTGCAACTAACAAGCTCATAGCAGAACGATTTTGCTGGCCTGGTATGAATAAAGACATGAAGGAGTGGGCACGCTGTTGTGTAAGCTACCAGAAATCTAAGGTGATTAGACACAAAAAATGTCTCTTCGCCGACTCTGGGACTGCTTGGAAAAGGCGGAGAGGTGGTCAGTGTATGACATGGTGTCGTGGTATGAAAGAATGTTGCAAAGAGTTGTCTTCTGTTGGTCCTTTACGACTCCCTGGCTGGGGTCCAAGAGATGGTGCAACACAGTGGTAGAGACGTTATCAGATATGGCTCAGGATAGAATCCAGTGGCGATCCTGCTGTAACCTTCTTTTACTTTCTTCATAAAGAATGGTTATAACCTTCTTAACTGAAAGAGTCTTCTGGTTGTACATTTCAGTTCCCCCCATCATTACTCTTCTCTTTTTTTCATCCTATTTTTTTCCTTTTATATATACGCATCTTCCCCCTTTCTCTTCCCATTCTCATTGTTTTGTGTGGCGCGTATATATCTGGTGCCCTCTTGTACCAATATGTATGAGTTCAAATAAATAAATAAATAATCGCAACTCTACGGATCACTGTAGAACAATCAATTGATTGGAATCCACCACTCTACATCAACTTCATTGACCTCGAGAAACGATTTGATATACTGGACAGAACAACACTATGGAGGCTTCCTCGACACTACGGCGTGCCTTAGGCGATAGTCAATATCATACGGAATTCTTATGATGGATCGAACTGCAAAATCGTGCATAGAGGACAGCTCACAAACTCGTTCGAAGTAAAGACCGGTGTCAGACAAGGTTGCTTACTCTCACCCTTTCTCTTTCTCCCGGTGATTTTCTGGATTATGAAGACGTCAGCATCTGGAGAGAAGCACGGGCTACAGTAGACAGCTAAAATGCATCTGAATGGTTTAGACTTTGTAAATGATCTGGCTCTTCTATCACACACGCAACAACAAATGCAGGAGGAAACGACCACTCTAGCAGTAGCCTCAGCAGCAGTAGGTCTCAATATAAGCAAAAGAAAAAGCAAGACTCCGATACGATACAACATGCACCAACCGAATTACACTTGACGGAGAAGCTTTGGAGGATGTGGAAACCTTTACATGCCTGGGCAGCATCATCGACGAACAAGGTGGATCTGATGCAGATGTGAAGGCGAGGATCGACAAAGCAAGAGTAGCATATTTACAACTGAAGAACATCTGGAACTCAAAACAATTGTTAAACAACACCAACATCAAAATTTTCAATACAAATGTCAAGACAGTTCTACTGTATGGGGCGGAGACGTGGAGAACTACGAAAGCCATCATCCAAGAGATATAAGTGTTTATTAGTAGTTGTCTACGCAAGATACTTCGGATCTGTTGGCCAGACACTATCAACAACAAGCTACTATGGGAGACAACAAACCAGATTCCAGCGGAGGAAGAAACGCTGTAAGTGGATCGGACACATTGCGTCACAAGGCAAGCCCTCACTTGGAATCCTTAAGGCCAAAGGAGAAGAGGAGGACTAAAGGACACAAGGTTGAGAAATGGAGATAAACATGAAAAGAATGAACTAGGAACGAAGGCCCAGGACAGTGGGTTGGAGAATGCTGGTCGGCGGCCTGTGCTCCATTGGGAGTAACAGGCGCGAGTAAGTAACATACTTTAATGTAATGACCTATTAGTAATTGAATTATTGACTGTTTGAACAAAGAAGCCTCATTCATCTAAAAAGGATATAACCAGAAATGGACTTATCAAAATAAATAATTGTTGTGACAAAATAGGATATTACTTTTAAATAGCAAAAATTGTCGGATGAAAATAAACTAAAGATTTTGCATACATTGGCCCAGAACTGTGTATCTAATATTTTATACTGGCCTAACTATAAAAATGTGTGAATAACTAAGGAGTATGTAAAAACCGTAATGAAAATACATTTTCCTGTTTATTATTCAATACTTGACTGACATATGTAGTAACTGTCTATCTTGAGTCTAAGCTGATAAATGTTTGCCTGTTACATAAAATTATCAACCTTCCACACTAATCTACCTATGGCACACTTATTAATGATATCACAACTATAATGGGCAAGAAGAACGACTTGAAGTCATTTGTATATTGCGAGTATTCTTTACTACCAAAGGTCAGGAGTAAACACATAGAGGAAACTCGTGTACAGTACCCGACGTCCAGTTAGTATACAGATATCTTTCCTGCGCTACAGGTACAGAAAGTTTCCCAAAACGGTTGTAGGACGTTAACATTTTTATAACTATCCGTAAACATCCATTTGTAACTGTCTTTACGGATTTATTTGAGGCTTTATTGGAAAGAAATATGTGATCTTTAACGTACTGAGGAATAGATTATGAAGAAAAAGCACTGAAAAAACTGTTCAACATGAGGTTAATCTCGAACTTCCCAATAAATGCAACTAGCCGAGCACGAATGGTAAAATTCACGTTGATCGACACTATGACCGATCAATAAGAGTAGGCAAAACTACCGGGAGTAAAAACTGTCTTAAAAAGTAGGTGACTGGGTTCATTATGAACATCATTAAACAAACATTTAGTAACGCAAGCTACGGAAAAGGTTAACTAGGTGTAAATACGGGGTAAGCTAAGGGAAAACGCGTTATATATAGATCCTTTCTTCGTCAGCATGGTGAAATAGTGTGACATTGGTAGGATTAAACTATACTGCCGACCTTTGAACGAATCTTAAATGACCTTGAGAAATATTAGCCAATCAGAAGACAGTGCACAGTAAAAATTTATTATACAAAACCAAAGAATTAAAGTGGAAACACTTCTTTTACATGAGTCAAAAACTTCTGAAGGTCAGATATAGGTTCAGAAGTTCTAAAATCATGGTGCATACGGTACAGAAAACTCCGCCTGTAGCTCTTCTAGAGTTACTGCCGGTCCCAAGCCCGGGTAAAGGAGGAGGGTTGGGCATGGGGTTAGCGACCCCATCCCGTAGAAAAGCTAACTCGCTGAAAAAACGCTAACCAGAAAAAATAATAATTCAAACCATTTAAACTCTGCCCTGGGAGTTGAAGGAATAATTATGACGTCTCATGATGAAAGCCGAAATTCTTCGGAAGTCACGAGACCGATGCACCTTCTAACAACCAGAGCAACACTCTTTATAGGTACATGGAACGTCCGGACGATGTGGGAGACAGGAAAAACCAGCCAAATAGCAATGGAAATGAGAAAATACAACTTGGCAGTACTCGGAATCAGCGAAACCCATTGGACACAAACTGGACAACAAAGGCTAGGTACAGGAGAGATACTGCTGTACTCCGGTCACGAAGGGGAAAATGCTCCACACACTCAGGGAGTTGCTCTAATACTGTCCAAAGAAGCACGAATTGCACTTGTGGGATGGGAATCTCATGGACCCAGGATAATCAAAGCATCATTCAGAACAAAGAAGCAAGGGATCAAAATGAACATTATCCAATGTTATGCACCCACTAATGATAGCAACGACGATGATAAAGATCAGTTCTATGAAAGGCTGCAATCAATTATAGAGAAGTGCTCACGAAAGGACCTCACAATCCTGATGGGAGATCTAAATGCTAAAGTTGGGGTGGACAACACAGGATATGAAGATGTAATTGGACGACATGGATTAGGAGAGAGAAATGAAAATGGGGAGAAACTTGCAAACCTATGTGCATTCAACAAATTGGTTATAGGTGGCACAATATTCCCACACAAACGTATACACAAAGCTACATCGATCTCACCGGACCACACCACAGAGAAGCAGATTGATCACATCTGTATGAACAAAAAATTCCGAAGATCAATGGAAGATGTGAGAGCCCGGAGAGGAGCTGACATAGCTTCAAACCACCACCTGGTTGTGGCCAAGATGAGACTGAAGCTAAAGAAAGACTGGACAACTGGACAAACAGCACTACAAAGGTTCAATACAGCCTTCCTTCGAGATACTGACAAGCTCCATGAATTCAAGATAACTCTCAACAACAGGTTCCAAGCTCTACAGGATCTACTGAAAGAACAAGAAACTACTTTGGAGGACAACTGGAAAGGGATAAAAGAAGCACTAACTTCAACGTGTCAGCAGGTTCTTGGTCCTAAGAAGCATCATCACAAGGAATGGATCTCTATGGGAACCCTGGACAAAATTCAAGAAAGGAAGAACAAGAAACTAGCAATTAACAACAGCCGAACACGAGCAGAGAAAGTCAAAGCACAAGCAGACTACGCAGAAGCAAACAGAGAAGTGAAGAAAAGCATTAAAGCCGACAAGCAGAAATATATGGGAGAACTAGCAACGGCTGCGGAAAAAGCTGCAAGAGAAGGGAATATGAAACAACTATATGACACAACGAAGAAATTGGCAGAGAGATATAGCAAACCAGAGAGACCAGTCAAAGACAAAGAAGGAAAGACAATCACTGAGATTCAAGAACAGAGGAAAAGATGGGCAGAATACTTCGAGGAACTGCTGAATAGACCAGCCCCATTGAATCCACCGAATATCGAAGCAGCCCACACTGACCTTCCAATAGATATCACTCCACCAACGATCGAAGAAGTCAAGATGGCCATCAGACAAATCAAAAGTGGGAAGGCGGCAGGACCTGACAATATACCAGCAGAAGCACTGAAGTCAGACATTGAAATAACTGCAAATATGCTTCATCTTCTATTCAAAAAGATTTGAGAAGAGGAACAAGTGCCAACGGACTGGAAAGAAGGATATCTCATCAAGATACCAAAGAAAGGAGATCTGAGCACATGTGAGAACTACAGAGGCATCAGTTTGTTATCAGTACCAGGAAAAGTTTTCAACAGAGTGCTGCTGAATCGGATGAAAGACGCAGTAGACGCTGAACTTAGGGATCATCAGGCTGGATTCCGTAAGGATCGGTCGTGCACAGACCAGATTGCGACACTACGGATCATCGTTGAACAATCAGTTGAGTGGAACTCATCACTTCAACTTCATTGACTATGAGAAGGCGTTTGACAGCGTGGACAGGAGAACATTATGGAAACTTCTTCGACACTATGGAGTTCCTGAAAAGATTGTCAACATTATCCAAAACTCATACGATGGACTACAGTGCAAAGTGGTGCATGGAGGACAGCTGACAGATGCATTTCCAGTAAGGACCGGAGTCAGACAAGGCTGTCTACTCTCCCCATTCCTCTTCCTTCTAGTGATTGACTGGATTATGAAGAATTCGACATCTGAAGGGAAATACGGAATACAATGGACTTCTCAGAATCAATTAGATGATTTGGACTTCGCAGATGACCTAGCCCTCCTCTCTCATACACACGACCAAATGCAGATGAAGACAGCAAATGTAGCAGCAGCCTCCGCATCAATAGGCCTCCACATTCACAAAGGAAAAAGTAAGATTCTCAAATGCAACACGGTGAACAGCAACCCAATCACACTTGATGGCGAAACTCTGGAAGAGGTGGAAACATTCACGTACCTGGGGAGCATCGTTGATAAACAAGGGGGATCGGATGCAGATGTAAAGGCGAGGATTGGCAAAGCAAGGGCAGCATTTCTACAATTGAAGAACATATGGAACTCAAAACAACTCTCAACCAATTTCAAGGTCAGAATCTTTAATACGAACGTCAAGACAGTCCTACTGTACGGAGCTGAAACGTGGAGAACTACTACGACCATCATCAGGAAGGTACAAGTATTTATAAACAACTGTCTACGCAAAATACTCAACATCCACTGGCCGGATACTATCAGCAACAGCGTTTTATGGGAGAGGACAAATCAACTTCCAGTTGAAGAGGAAATTAGGAAAAGACGTTGGAAGTGGATCGGACGTACATTGAGGAAATCACCAATGTGCATCACGACTCAATCCCTAACTTGGAATCCGGAAGGGAAGCGGAAGAGAGGCCAAAGAACATATTACGCCGGGAAATAGAAGCCGATATGAAAAGGATGAATAGCAACTGGAAAGAACTGGAAAGGAAGGCTCAGGACAGAGTTGGATGGAGAATGCTGGTGAGCGGCCTATGCTTCTCCACAAGGGGTAACAGGCGTAAGTAAGTAAGTAAGTAACGGTACAGAAGCACATCCATATGGCTTCATAGTAGTCGACCTCTGAAACCATGATAAGGTCTCAAAAATCCCTTTAGCCTCGACCACATAGCTTCGATAATGTCAGCATATTGGAATGGTTGGTAACATTAAACTATACTGCCGACCTTTGAACGAATCTTAAATGACCTTGAGAAATATTAGCCAATCAGAAGACAGCTAGTATAAAGTAAAAATATATTATACAAAACTCGAAGATTAGAGGGGATATTGTTTTTTTACATGACTTAAAAACTTATCAAGGTTAGATATTGGTTCATAAGTTTTAAAATCATAATGCATCCGATACAGGAACTCATCCATGTGGCTCCATAGCAGTCGACCTCTGGAACTATGATAAGGTCTCAAGAATTCTTTTAGCTTCGACCACATACCTTCAATGTTATTAGTGTGTACCCCAGTTGTAGGGTCTACGAAGTGACGCTTGTGTACGACAACCTCATGCACGTAGCCCAGTTTACTTAGGCACCTGTAGGCTCTCCAATGGTTCGTATATACCACAGTTCCCGGCAGCACGTATTGTTGTATGATCGGTATTATTGTCGGTGCCTTTCGTTTCCTGACTTTTTGGAAATGTCCTTTTCCTAGTGATCTATCATAGATTCCAAGGACCTGTGAGGTATATTTATGGAAGAGGTACTTACCCAATCTTCTTAGATACTGCCGCCACGGTTGAATTTGCGTTTCCTTACGACTGTTTCATCTATTTCAACAATCCTCCCAACTCCTCCATATGATTCGTGTACGCTTGTCAATTTTGTAGCACATATTTCTCGGCAATACTCGTACCACTGAATTGCCGAAACTTCACTTACATCGGGAAATGAGGCCGCGAGTGTAACTGGTGCTTTTATTATCCAATTGGCAACAAGGATCATTATCTGCCTTAACGTTAATTTCGATCGAGCGAAGAAAGTTCCTGCTCGAGCTGACTTTCTCTTCCAACATGAAGAACATCGAAAGATAACATAATCTCGGCAAGTTGCACACTGTACAATAGTCATTTCACTACCACAGTCACAAGTATATGAACTCCTCAATAATCTTTTCTCTTGAAGACGCTCAATTATAACGTCTTCGTTAAAATCCGCTGTAAAACGGTCGTACGTAAGCATTGTAGCATGTTGTATTTCGACGTTCACTTGGGAGCAGGAGCGACCTGAAACAGCAACACAACAGTTGGGACAGACAAGTGCGTCTGAAGTGAGAACACGGTGTGATGGTGCAGCAGATATATTTGAAATTGAAAAACGCGGTTTTTAGTACCAAAAGGGAAAGTTATTACAAAATAGTTTTACTCGTTATTCTGCAGGTTCAGACGACGTAGGGCTTGTTCTTCTTCTTCCAGTGCATCCACTCTTTGTTGCCCTGCAATGAGAAATACAAACACACATTATTAATGCTGCATGTAATGATTTTTATTACCGTTACACTACCCCCTCTCTCCATGAGGCACTGTCCTCAGTGTTTGGTTGCGGGCATGGGTATGCTATTCCTCCTTCTGGTGGCACCTCATAATGGCTGGTAGCCGTCGGGGGATTGAAAAACGGGGTATCTAAGTGCACGGTTGTTTTATCTGGTTTCAGTTGGCTGT